TGTCTAGTGCCCCCAAAGCCTGTGGCATTTGTTTATATACACATTGAGTTATTAAGATGTATACTGTATACTATATGGGTTTATTTGTATACAAGGTTAAATTATATCATTAAACCCAAACAATTTGTTATATTAAACTCCATGCCTATTATTGTATTTACATACTTATCCTTACGCGGATATATAATACATATATGATCTAAATGGTAATCCAACTAAAGGGGGTTCAAATAAACATGCATCTATAAAAAGTACAAATGGGGGGGGCTGCTTCAATGCAAAGAGGGTTATAGAGAAACGAAAATTAACAGAGCAAGAAAGGTGCAATGAATACATTTTAATACAAGTTTATGGTTGCCCTTTTTCTCTTCTATAGATGTCATTTTTATTTCAATGTTTTAGATCTTTCCCTCAAGGATCCACCCAGACCTCACCTTCCTCCTCCACACCTTTGTCATCTACTCCATCTTCAAGCAGGAGTACTCCACCACCTTCTACTGATACAACCTCCTCCTTCAGGTGGTCAGATAGGTATGTAAGGATGTTGCAAATATCGTAGCAATCCCCATAATTGTTAACCTGAGCATACCTAGATAAATCTAAGTAACATGATTAAAACATGCATTGTGACTAGATTAACTACGTTTATATCTATCCCTATTATTCATCTAAATACGAGTTCGCGCCCAGTGGTAGTGACGTTGATAGATCACGAGATTGTATCTGTGTGGTTCCCTGTTTTGATAAATAGGTTAAGTATCCTCCCCTTTCATTTGGGATCGATACTTACGAGATTGTAGCCAAGTGTTGATGTTGATAGTCAAGAGAATCTGAGTTGTACCTGGATAGATACGTGTTAGAGAAACCGTTCTGGAGTAGGGTATTTACAACAAATAGGTGTAAAAAGAAAAGACTGTTTTTGAGTCGTACTTAGGGATTATTGGAGGCTTTTAAAGATATATTATTCAGCTCTCTGGGGACAGAAGGATAAACAACAAAAGGATGTTTTCAATGAACTGTAAACGTAGTTTCAAGTCAACCTCCATATATAAAACGACATGTCTTATTCACATCCTTCTTCTGAGAGAGCAACAATAATGGAGTTATTCCTTTTTTATATTACTAATTTGTATCTAACTGATTTATGCAAGCGAAATGAAAGATGGAAATTGTCAAAATTTGCCTTGCTTCTGGACGACAATATCTCACTGTTACAATGTGACTTGAAATGAAAAAGCGGAAGAGGGGATGGGGAATATGCACACGTCATGATTAATTATTTAAAACTGCTGAAGCTTAAACTTGTGAAGGTTAGAAAATAATCTTTAATTCAGGATGAAGTCCTCTCCTCCCTTCAATAGAAGAACTTCAGCAGAACCTAAGAAGATTTCTGCATTAACACTCAGGTTAGTGTCTAGTGTCTAGTGTCTAGTGTCTAGTGTCTAGTGTCTAGTGTCTAGTGTCTAGTGTCTAGTGTCTAGTGTCTAGTGTCTAGTGTCTAGACACCACTCCAGCTTAATCCATTTTCCTTTTTCCCTTTCGGCCGTTCCCTTTTCTATTTTCGTCTATTCTCATTTATCTTTCCATGAGTACAGTTTTCCGTCTTCACTTTCCATTTGATATCCTTTTCCTTTCCGCACTACCTTTTCCTTTCCTCAACACCTTTTCCTTTCCGCACCACCTTTCCTTTCCGCGCCATCTTTTCCTGTCCGCGCCACCTTTTCCTTTCCGCACCACCTTTTTCTTTCCGATCCGCCTTTTCCTTCGCGCACCACCTTTTCTTTTGCACATTATCGTATAACTGTTGTTTTCCTTTTCATTTTATTCGACATTTTGTGTTTCATCTTTTTAAATCTATTTTTATCCTTTCTAGGCCCCATTCTGTATTTCCGTTCAAGTTTTCATGTAATTGAGAATTTAAAAGTATATTTTTGAAATATCTGGTGTTTGCATTGTATTGCATGAATAGACAATGCTTGAACAGGCAGTATATCATCTAGAATAGTGTCAGGTATCCTTATTCCTTAGAGCTTACTTGCAAATAAGTCTATCACGGGGGGAGGGGGGGTGGGGGTGACTAGAGATCTGGGTTTTTGTTTGAAAGTTTTTAACTATTTCTGTGACATATCTGGTTCCATTGTCTTCTGTAGGGATCCATCTTTAATTCAATCGATCGGAAAAAAATTTAGTGTTTACTCCTTCAGACATACATTCCAGGTCCTCAAAATAACGGTCTTACGGAAACGTGATCAACTATTGTCTATTTCAAGCTCAATATTTTGAACTGTATTAAAGGGAGTGTTCGCGAAAAATGAAAGGGGGTATAGGCTTAATGCGATAAAAAAGCGCTTTTGATCGCTTCTNGTCCAAAAATCGTATACTAGGAAATTACCGACATTAATCGATGTAAATTAGTTGACGTAAATAGACGTAAATTTATTGACGTAAATAGACGTATAAAGACGTAAATTGACCGTTGACGACAATTGACATAAATAAGTTGACGTAAATAGACGCAAATTGACATTTTAAAGTAAATTATATCATCTGCTAATCATGAATCTAACCGAAAACCCACAATTTTGTAAATATTGCCAATATCATCTTTTCCATTGGTCGCACATTTTATCGACAGCCATGAGTTATTCCGGTGATATTGTTCAAATATTCCGGTGATATTGTTCAAATATTAAAAGATAAAACTTTTTTATTTTTTCACTTTTTTTAGTGAAAGTGAATCTGATCAGGAGCGTCAAAGTTTTCCTCTGCAACGGGATATCAGTTGGAAGGTGAGCAAAGTAAAAATTTAAACAAAAGCAGGGGATACAAGTTCAAAACAGTGCTTAGTGTTCCAAACCTGACACTCACTGTCATGTCTGGGCCACTCACGGCTTGTAGCATTCTTTGATCTTTCCCAGTAAAGTCGGAAATAATTAAAGAAGAAAATTTTGGAAACATGAGAAAACCCAAATAGATTATCAAGTACAATAGGTGGCAACAGAGAAATTGACCAATTATATACGACGTCACAAGTGTCAAATATAACAAGGAAAACAAAATTTTCTCACATTAGTTGATATGTTTTCCAAGATTTAATAAAAAAAAGTGTAAAAACAGAAAAAAGAACACATAAAATTGCACCTATTTTGCTGGAAGAAAAGCACTTTATTCTAAAATTAGCACTATTATTAATAATTGACACTTGTGACGTCAGAATACAGCTCTACTAAAAGTGTAAAAATTCTACGTTGCCAGCTATTGTACTAGAATCTATTTGAAAAAAAACTAATAGCCGGTAGAATGTTAAAGAATGCACTTCTAAGGCAACTAAAGCTCAAATTTCATTTTTATGCAAAACAGTTTTTCGTGTGCAAATAGTATGCTTAGATCTACATTTATGAAATAAATATAAATCCTACATAAAAAAAATATTGATCAATGTTTAAAAATATATTGATCAATGATAACAATCTATTGATCAATGTTTAGAATCTATTGATCAATGTTTAGAATCTATTGTTCAATGTTTACAATCTATTGATCAATGTTTAGAATGAGATTAACAATCTAAGAAACCGGGTTTCCTCTGGTTCTAATGAACCTGGATCTTTATCCAGACAACCCACTTCAAGGATAGGTTCAAACCATTCATCCGACCCAACCACAGATACTTCAGCTCTCATCCAGTCATCCATCTCTTCTAAACCTCCAGTCATCCCATTCAACCCACCCCCAC